GCAGGTTCTGTTAACACACAGCAAAAAAACGTATCATGTGAAATCATCTTATGTCTAGTTGATATGTGTAATATTTCTTATTTTGAGTTGGTTGTAAGCTTATAATAAGATTATTAAACTTATTTGTAGACTTTTAAACTTGTTTGAAGTAATTACAGTAAAAAAATCTGACTATATTGGCAGATAATTTTACTCATTTTTAGAAATATGCTTGAAACAAGCATGATTATCTGCCAATATACCAAGATACTTTTACTTAATAAAACATCTGGAACTAAGTTAAATAACAACATATGTCTACAACCACCTCAACATAAGAAATACTAGATATTTAGACTACATTTAAGATGACTTTTTCACAAAATATGCAGTGCAGTAAAGATCGATGAAAACATCAGCACCCAAGCACTCAAACGGCATCCTAACAATAAAACTTAATTATTTTTTTAATTATTGCCACATTTCTATTATGGCAGGATATCACAAGCATTTAATGCATTGTCTGTATATCCTATGCAGAAGACCTGTTTGTAAGGCAGTTAAAGCACCATGGGGTGTAGGAACAAAGAGGACATGTTTTTTCATTCTTGTGCCAGCTTGTACAGTTGTACAGTTTTAAAACATTTTTTAGCCCCCCAAAAATTTGCAGACCACGGTATACTGCGCACATATTCTGGGGAGAATCATATTCAAATACTCAATGAATATTTCTCTTTAGATCCAGAGCAAAGATTTTAGAATGCACCTTTCACTGCGTGTCCTTAACTGACTCCATTTACACACAGTACATAGAAAGCTATTCTAGGCCAAGCTGGCACAAGAACAGAGTCTCTCCATAATGAGAAAAAGACTGTGCGGCCATGAAAAAAAGACACCTTCCTGAAAGAGACAGGGAGCCTGGACATCACTATCTCCTTAATGTCATTACATCACTGTAATACAGCATCTGGAGGGGGTGCTGCTTTTTTTTCTGGCTCACAAATCATCCAGATTGATATTTAAACAAGCTTAACCATATCCGAATAGGCTGGAGAGGGACTCTGTTTTGAAAAGGTGTCGAGGCAACTCTTCTGCAGCATGCAGAGGACAAAAGGTTAGCGCTTTCTTCATGATAGACCGGTGGTTTTCTCACCACCATCAAAGGGGTTGCCTCGGCATGTGTGAAGGAGTTTCCCTTTCAATTATTCAGCAGGAGCTTAACACGGTCTCGGGAAAAAAAACGAGGAAAAATAAGCCATGCGTTGCCCTCAAAGCGACCACGAACAAATATTCTAGCCGAAAAAAGCAAGCCACTCCTTTCTTTCAAAGCCCGAACGTGGAGAGGAGAACGCACATTTTGGGCACGAAAAAAGGGGTAAACGGTTTGAACTCTCTGGGATGGGCCCGTTCTGTCAGGGACTGGAATAATTTATATTCTTGTCAGGTCGCTGGCACTCACACGCTGCCACGAAGCTTCCTTGGAGACAGAAGGAAAAGGTTTTGGTGCAAACAGGGGAGAATTTAATGGGATTCCACAGCTTTTCTTCCTCAGGACTTTCTCTTATCCACTCTCCCTCCTTTGTTGCCTTTTTTATCGAGAGGAGAATGGAACGGAAATTCTTATGAGCGCCGCGCGCTCTTATCCCACAATGATAGCTCGTGTTCTGAGATAATTTCGCTTGGATTTAATTGGTTCGAAGGGAGGGCATGAAACTGCAACATAATGAGCCCAGTAATTAGGTATACATTGATGTATATCACGAGTATTTAAATGAAACTAATGGGAACAACTGATGGGCACAGCAGAGAATGATGCATGCTCTTAAAAATAAAGGCTCTCAAATGGTTCTTGGCTTGGTTCTGGGGGAAACAAACTAGCACAGAACCTTTACATTATGTGGGTCTTTAAAGGCTATTAAGTTGGTTGGTTCTTTAGGTGGTTCATTAGGGAACCAGAAGTCTTTTTACTCTCTTAGAAAAAAATGGTTCTTCACAGGTTCTTAAGTAAAGTGAATGCTTCTATTTAGAACCTTGTGTTCTATATGGAACCATTTCGTGCTTAAATGGCTTGTTGCATGGTAAAATGGTTCTTCAGATTAATGGAGAATGGTTCTGTGTAGCACCAGAAAGCGTTCTTCTATTGTTACAATGTCAAGCTTGTAACAACAGCAGAACACTTTTAGGTGCTATGTAGAACCATTTTCTAAAGATTCTTTACAGAACCATATACAGCGGGTTTTCCATCATGGAGAAAAATCATTTAACCATCCAAAGCACCATTTAAATACTGAAATTCTGTGTGTTTCCCTTTGAACCCTTGAAGACCCCCTGGTTTATATATACAAACATACATATATATATACACACGCACACACACACACACACACACACACACACACATATGTATATGTATATATATGTATGTATAACAATTGGTATGGAAAACATATGTATATGCCTGTATATAAGAACCAATGCATATTTTTGAATAACAGCATGTGTATGTGAAGCAATCACAGCCACAGATGATCAGGAATCCATCCATCCATCCATCCATCCACCCATCTGTTCATCTATCCATACATCCATCCGTTTATCCACTACTGATTTGTATAGTATATGATCACTGCTCCATCTGCACCCATGAGTCAATGATCAAACTGTATAGATTAAGCACTAATCCTCTTTGAATAAATTCCTCTAATATCTATGGCACAAATGCATTTAGATCAAAAGATCCACAAATCTTTGCTTCTGCATCTATGAGCTAATCCTTCTAGAGCTCTATAGTTCATCTGGACATAACCATGATGGAGGCTTGTCTTGCTGAAATTGTGGACAGCAAGTAACGTCATTTGTAGATGAGAAAGGGAGATTGCTTGCAAATGCACTGATGTCAAAGAACGGTCAAAGGAGGCACCATTCTCTTCCATTCACCGACAGATAACATCTGGTCAGATACACGCAGATGTCTCCCTGAGTGAGCGCGTGGGCGTGTGCCGACGTGCGTGCGTGCTAGATCGCATGTCTGCTGCTTCAGCCGCCTGCATCTTCTGCTTACTGTGATCCGCTTCCACCCAACGTGGCGTGCATTGAATGGAGACATTATTCATGATATTATGTTTCCATGACAAAAGGAACAAAGACATATTCACATAAAATATATCACAGCTGCACTGTAAGAAAAAAATCATATTGCGATTCTATTGCTACTTATTGCAACTGCAATATGGCTCACGCTACATTACGATCACATTTATGGTCCCTTGATTTGACAGCGTTAACTCTTAGTCACAGTTTTCTCAGTGGCAATAACAAAAGTATGTGTAATTCAGTATTAATTATTTCTTATTATGTGTATGTTTTTCTTTACATTTTTGCCATATATTTGTCATTTCTGACAACAAAAAACAAATGGAAAGAGTGTGAACTCAAGCCTGTTAATACACAGTGTTCATCAAATGTAAATGTCATTCATCTAACGCACAGTTAATTCTTCTTACTAAACATGTAATTACATTGTGACATTTGAATAATATAGTGAAACAGAAGTAATAAGGCTTGTCAGGTCCTATGAATGCCTTGATTCATTAAAAACATTCATCAAAGAATATCTCTGATGCTGTCAGTTGGTTAATAATTTTCAGCAACTAACAAATGACATTTTGTCTTCCTACTGTACATTTTTAAGAGTGTACTCCTCAGGTACAGTGGAGTAATTCACTAAGATAACTGACTTGCATAAGGGGAAAGAGACAGCCAAATTAAGTGGAAAAAACATGAGTTTCTGAAACTGGAGTTCAAAAAATTATTATAAAATACAGGACAAATGGGACTCCTAACAACCATGCAAGACCCGGTAGACCACCAAACCTGTCACCCATCAGATAAACAGTATTTAAAGCTTTCATCTTTGAGAGAGAGGAGAAAATCAAGCTCCACTCTTGATTCAGATCTGAAAAAATCCACAGGTGTTTCTGTCCATCCTTCCACTGTGAGAAGACAACTCAGCACTGTGAGTCTGAAAGGATGTGTAGCTGTTAAGAAGTTGTGCCAAGAAGCTGCTGGTGTTCTCAGAACAATTGACTGACCACTCCAGAGTCCAGGCCTCAAAATGTTTTTGTGATTAATCACAAGAGGCGTGCAACCTACTTCTAAGACTGAACTTTGGAGGTGTGGAAAAATATCCCTGCAGATTTCTTTGAAAAACTGAAAGCAAAACTCCATAAAAGAATGGGAGCTGTAATAAATTAATGGCACACTTAATACTAAAAAATACTACTGAATTCAGTTGTTGAAGCTTCTGTGTAATTTTCTGTTAAATATGTCTTCTGCTTTTGCCCAGACTCTGAAAAATGAGTAACTTCTACTGAATGATCATTTGGCTGGAAATGAAAGCGTTTTATGTCACCAGACTATGAGGAGTCTTCTCAAATAGGCAAGAGGAAGTGAGTCTGGTCTCATATTCCCTTCTGACTTCTTGTGTTCAAAACAGAACAAATTGAAAGTATATTTCAAAATATTCTGTATCAGTTTTGGAGTTTATTGAAAATATTACTAGAAATCATGTGTTTGCTGTCATTATAAAACCTTATATCTGTGAAATGGAATCAAGCAGAAAACAAAGTTCTCAATATACATTAATGAAATTGAATGTAATTAGTGTATAATGTACAATGTGCTATGTAATGTATAATGTAGTGTAATGCACATTAATATAATGGAATTTTAGTCATTTCTAACTATTTCTATTGCAGCGTTCATCATTAAATCTAAAGAACAGGTGATGTTTTCGAACAGTGTCATAAAAAATGTTTAAAAATTAAAAATAAAAGGAGATTTTGGTAGAAATGATATGTGATGTGCAACAGGGATTAAGAATATACTTGAGCTTCTAAAGTGGAAACAGTAGCTGAAAAAAAGAAAGCAATCTACAGCAAAACTGAACCTCAGCATCTGCCTGCATTATAAATCACAGCACAAGAAAATGAGCAAGAAGGAAAAGAGGCTGCCTCACGCACCGATGTGTACAGATGTCCCTCTCCGTTCATGGCGATGTATAACCCCGTCTTCACTGACTGGATGGCGACGACTCGAAGGCCCACTGGGATGAGGTTGAACAATGCTGGAGAAGACAGTTAGACGAAATGTGAACTATGCTTTTTAGTGCCATGTTCTACATTCTTTCTATTTCTGTTTACTGCAGTGATCTGTAGTTCAGTGGTATTTAATATGAGTCAAGCATAGATTAAATGTAATATCAATGCATACTGTATGGTCAATCTATTCTATACAGTCCTATACAAAGGTTTAAACACTCCCAGTAAAATTACATGTTTTGTTGATTTTCTAAGTGAAAATATATTAACTACAAAGAACAAACTTAAATATGGCATTTTTATGCAAATTTGAGTACTGAGCTTTTTGGAGAAAAAAAAATTAAACATAAAATTTAAAATGTGCTCTTTTTTTCTTTGTTTTATTTTTTCCCCCCAATACATTAATTTCAGTAAATAAAGTGTAATTTTGCATACGTTAAATCAATATACTACATAGTCCACAAATATGGCCCAAGCACAATTGCAAAAGCAACGTCCCATATTATTAAAGGAGTAACTCAACCAAATATGCCAACAGTGAATGGGATTATTTCACTAATTACTACAATTTTATTTGCAACGTGCTAATTGGTGGCTATTCACTTTCAGTCACTTGCAGCATTAGCAATTCTGATAAGACTATTCTTTTAAAAACTACCCATATTAATAAAAGAAGAACATCTACTGCTCACATGGCTGAAAAGCCTCTTTTTTAAAGCCTCTGACAGCTAAGATGCCGTAGACAGTCGAGGCTACAGAGTTATGAAACCATGTCTTTCAGGGTCCCTCCAGGTTGAAGGAGTTGAATGAGGACACTTCAGCGAGAGAAACAGGTGTTTTTATCTAACCCGGCTCTAGAAGTGCATCTGTGAGTTTAAATGGACTGTGGGGACTCCTCCAAAGCAGCGAAGAGTAAGTGAGCGTCCATAACAGACATTTAGACATGTAGGCTGGGGCTGCCTTTATATTTTAGACACCTTCTGTCTTTTCATACAAATGTGAAATATTCAGTAAGCACAGTGGGGTCCACAAGTCTGAGACCACGAGAATGCTTCTATACTCTTAAACAAGATGGTTTTTCAAGGGTTCTTTCTCTGTGAATCTGAAGAACCATTTCACTGCAACATTGTATTAAACCATTTAAGCATGCAAATCGTTTTTTGAGTGTTCATGGTTTAACATAGAACCACTGTCTTTACTAAAGAACCCTTGAAGAACCATTTTTAAGAATGTACTCTAACAACTTGAGTGAAAAGTAGAGTCCAATATTTCAATGTAAAGTTGGGTCCAAAAGTCTGAGACCACACTGAATATCTGGGATTTTTTTTATTTTAACAAGGAAATAAACACAGAAACTTTTACAGCTTTGAAAATAATAATAAAAAAAATCAAAGTTATGACAAGATGAAGAAGAAATAATCAATGTTGTGCAATATTTCTAGGATGCTGTTCAAATGTAAGCACATTTGTGACATTGACCATGTGGGCCTTTGTGCAAAATATATTATGATTATTATTATTATTATAATTCTTCTTCTTCTTATTATTATTATTTAGTCTTGTTTCTTTGGAACACACTGATTCTCAGATGGATTTGATCTACTCATCAGAGGCTTTTGCCCAAACTTGGAGTGCATGTTGTCATTAAAGCAAAAGAAATACTAAATACTAAGAAATTCTGAAATTCATGCAAATATTACAAAGATTGTATTCAAGAAAATTTGCACTAGAACACTGAAACTGGACATCTGAGATGTGAGATTAGGAAGAATTTATGGACTGATGAGTCTAAAATTTGCATTTGGGGTTACTTGGATTGTGAGAAGCAAAAAATGCAACCAACTCCTAAGACTGAAATCTAGAAGTGTGCAAAAAAATATCCCAGCAGATTTCTTTGAAATAATGAAAGCAATTTTTTCTCACTCTGAAAAATTAATAACTTGTATTTAATGGCTGTTTTGAGTGGAAATTAAATAAACCGAAGGCTGGTCTTGACTTTTGCAGTGTAGATGAGTTTTTTTCTCAGGAAAACCAGAGCCGACCCACATCGAAATGAACCGTGCATTTATCTGAAACACTGACACTGTATTTGTACTGAGAGCAAAAATGTAGTAGAAACATTTGTGAACTCACAGGAATTAGTGCTGTCATCTTTGGTCCCGTCCAAACATCCATCTGGGCTCATCTGCAAGTAGTATCCCTGCCTGCAATATAACCTGGTCACAATGCCCTTGAGCTGGGGATCTGAGATGTGCAGAGAAAGAGAGAAAAAGAGAGGGGGGAATAAGAGAGACAGAGAAATGATAAATGCGTACCCCCGAATATCACACAATATCAGTCGGACGTCTGAAGATGTAGAGTCATGTCACAGTACAGGTCTCCTGTGGGCATTTCACTGAACAGGCCGTCGTATATCATGTATTGCAGTATTTATTATCAATTTATCTTAACTGCACTTCAATAAGAGGGAGGCAATATTGCCCTCAAGGCAAACTGTGTGGTGCTCATAGGAACAACTGGTACCACGGCCAGTACACTTTGATATTTCATCTTGTTCGGGGACGACAGGAGCCTCAGGTAACACGAAAGAACAGTGGAAAAACATGCAGGTTGGGCCAAAGGTGGTGGACAGGGTGATGGTTTAGGTTAAGGTTCCTTTGTTAACCTATCACCTGTTAAAGTGCACTTCATAAGTCATAAGGAAAAGAGCAATCTGCCATCTCCATGGAATTATACAATGTGTGGCCAAACACTGTACTACTGTTCTAGAATGTTCTCCCTGATTCACACTGCTCTAGAATGTTTTTGACCATCCTGTCTGTTCTAAAATAATCTCCCAATTCACACTGTTCTTCAGTGTTCTCCCACATTCACACTGTTCCAGAAAGTTTTCCACCATTCAGTCTGTTCTAGAATGTTCTCCTGCATTCACAAGTGTTTTCCCACATTCAAACTGTATGAGACAGTTCTCCCTCATTCACTGTTGTACGATGTTCTCCCCTATTCACACTGCTCTAGAATGTTTTTGACCATCCAGTCTGTTCTAAAATGTTCTCCCCTATTCTTACTGCTCTAGAATGTTTTTTCCCTTTTGGTTTGTTCTAAACTCCCAATTCACACTGTTCGTCAGTGTTCTCCCACATTTGCACTGTTCTAGAATGTTCTCCCCTATTCTTACTGCTGTAGAATGTTTTCAGTATTCTCCCACATTCACACTGTTCTAGAATGTTTATACTGCTGTAGTGTTCCACATTGTTCCAGAATGTTCTTTCCATTCCCATTGTTGTAGAATATTCTCCCCTTTCACACTATTCTAAAATGTTCTTCATCACTCACACTGTTCTAGAGTGCTCTTCATCTTTCACACTGTTCTAGAGTGTTCTTCATCATTCACACTGTTCTAGAGTGTTCGTCATCATTCACAGTATAACATCACATCACAACATTACAACGTGTATGTTTAACCATTAAATCGATTGTGGTTAATATAAATTGTGGTTATTATAAATGATCTCTTAAGCAGGTGGGAAATGAACTAGGATTAGAACTTGAGCTTTAAGCTCAGTTTGTTCATGTTTGGGTCAATTATTGTAATTCAGTGTGCTGTGGGAAAACACCCTTTATAAGGCTGATGCGTCTTTGTTACACCCTGCAATTAAATCTAGCTGGTGCAAGATTATATGACAAAAATTAACCTCATAAATTCATGAAGTTATTGACTCGGCAAGATCAATTTTTTTAAACCCTTTGTTTTTCCAATATATTGGGTACATAAATCTTATGTTTACAGCAAATCCTGCTGTACCAGATCAGTGCTACCTGCGTTATCCACCTAGAAGTAAGTTCTTACTGTTGTGACGTAATGCTGATTTGTCCTATAGACTGCAGGAGGTAACGATACACCATAATCATCTGAAGCCAAACAAGCTTTCTTGTACCAGACTGTGCTCAGTCAATAGCTGTCAACATCTTTAACCTAAACTCAGTATCAGAAATCACATTTCCGTGAAGGTGTGGTCCACTCTCAGGATGATCTACTTAAGAATTAAGAATTGATGAAGAGAATGACCTCTCTCGGCACCAACTAAATTAGACTCCACCGAAAGGAAATTAAAAAAAGTAAAAAAAAAGCAATGGCAATAATATCCGGTCACGGTACAACAAAAGAACAGTGGCAGACCGGAGCTTGCTCCACAGCCTCTTTTCATCTCGGAATTGCCTAAAAATGTCAGCTGGCTCCTGCTCGTCATTCACTGTGATCCGCTGTGTATCTGATGAGTGATGTCTCCTCCGCCATTCCGGCTTCAGACAGAATGGGCCGTCCTCTGCTGTTAAAACAGCGAGACAGCGGGCAACTTTTGTTTTCCAATTTCCTGGCTTTTGATCCTGGAGCGTGTGGTCATCCATGTGAAGGGGAAGACAGGAGGGCCCTAGGGGTTTGCGTGTGTGTGTGTGTGTGAAGATGCTAAGGAAACTGCAGGAATAAAGCAAAAGATGAAACGTAAGAAAGGAAAGCCACCACTGAACCATAATGCAGATCGAAACAGGGTATGTGCACTGGGAATTAGAAGTAAACAGCTCTGGAAAGTCTGAAACTACACCCTTTGCCCAAAATAGTGGACCATAAATTGTGCTATTTTCTCCCCAGTCTACTCATAGCCCGTCCCACCTGCTAGCTAGGTGTCCTCCATCACACAATGCTACGAAACAGGGAGGTTGCAGGCTAGCATGTGCTTCCTTTAAGCCACTGCATCTTTTCAAAGTATTGCAAACACAACTTCATTGAACAGCTGAACAGGCTTGGCTAGAACACTAACTGCCAATTCTGTTATGTCAGTTATCAAACACCCACGTTGACTTGCATTGCGCTGAGTGATGGAGGAAGAGGGAGAACCAGAGAGAGCAAGGCCAATTATGTTCTCTTATAAGTATTTTCCATCAAACTCTCATATGCAAATTTTGAAAATGGGCATAAAAACCAGGATGCAAAAGCCAACAGCTTCACCACAGCATCTCTGAACTTTTAAGGCTACACATATGTACCACTGACAAGGGGCTGTCAAAATTGTTCTACCAAAAGCTAATAATGGTTCAAATCCCCCCATTGTATATGCCACGCAGGGTGAACATGACTCATCTATAGCATATCTTCAAGAAACTGCGCAAAACAGTAGTTGATGGAAACACTGATCAGTTTGCATTTTCTTTTAAGCACCTTTTCTGAGAAATGGGTTGGATGGCTGTGGCATTGCCAGGGCTCAATCTAATGATCTTTCAATGCTATGATTCAGGAGCCCCATATATGCACTGATTTGTCATTTTGTAATGTTGTTGATACACCAGAACAAGTATTGCACAAACAATGTAATCCAGGTAGACCTGGAACTCCCACAGTGCAGCGTCATATTTTGAATAATCTTGTAGTGGGGTCTTTCAAAAAACATAGCAGGGAACATCTAGAGCACTCTTACATTGACACAATGCACTGCAATAGTTAATTTATAAACAACACTCAAGTGGACACCAGTAGCAAACTGTGACTATTAGAGCTAAGCCTTCAATCCAAGCTATGACTGTCAAAATTCGGCCAAAGCATTTTTACAATGATACTAATTTCTGCTCGCGTTCCTATGGGAATCTAGTTGTTTCTTAGCAGTAAGCTAATTGCGGTTTGCACCATTGCAAAATGAACACATTTTGGCAGTTATAAAGTAAACACAGACAAGTGTAGCTTACATTTAAAAACACTACATGTTTCACTTGAAACAGTTTCACAGTGATTATCCATTGATTAGGCTGCTGCTCACCTTCACAATCAGTGGCATATCTAGAACTTCTAGAAGGCCTAGAGTATTTTTTTTTTTTTTACAAAACTGGACCTGCCTATTGGAAATCAAATCATGATTTGTTGATTCCTCTGTCACATTGTAATTATGTTGATGATTCATCTAATGCATTTGTACTTCTCTTCAGCTCTTGAATTCCTAACTAATAGGCCAGGTTGCTTAGCTACACCTACCAAGATATGACAGAGAAAAGCGATTCCTGATTGGCCAATTTTTCACTCAACATTTGAAGAATTCAACCTTTTTGTTTCCATCCAGTACTTAATAATGAAGCAAGAGCAGTTCTGTAATACTTGTAGGGTTTAAGAAAATCATGATCTACTGAATAAAAATGAACCAAAAAATTACAGACATGTATTTTGTAGTTCCTAGAAATCTTAGGCCTTCTCTGAAGGCCTAGAAAGCCCTGAGGGCTTCCCTCTGGTGGACACAGACTAGCCACAATGCAAGAGAGTGATGAGCAAGCCCATATAATGTTACTGTATGAAACAGGTTACCTGAGACACAAATTCTCCCTATAATAGTGTTCCATACAATGCTCCTGAATTTCTAACATAGGGAATAGTGATTAGGGGGCTATTTAGAACACAGCTACAGTTTTCCTACCCCTTAAAGTAAAGCTACTTAAATGTGCATTAGCTGCTCTACCACTACAAATGGAACCAGTGATTTCCTATAAAGCCCCCAAGATCAACTACAGAGTAGAAAATGATATTAATTATTCCCAGTATTGAATAGCTACACAGAAAGGCAAAGCACACAGCGCCACGTTTCAAGGACAGGTTAATGGTACACATGCTTGAAGAAAGACCAAAATATATGTAAGGCAATAGCACTAGTATAAAACAGCACAGTGCTTCATATTACTGACCATATTACTAAGATTAGGAGGGTGGACTGACAGTGTAACAAGACTTTATTCAAAGTCATTTTGGGACATTTTTGTGTGTTCATTCCTCTTCAAACGTTCATACAGTATAAAGGGCAGAATCCTTTTTCAAAAGATATTGAAAAATTGGAAAAAAATACTGTTATGAGTTATGAGATTTTAATATTACTGCAAATTAAGTTGTTAATATAATTTAATAAGTAAATGATTTTATCACAGGTTAGGGGCGTTCTTACACCTTAGCTGTGGTAAAGTCACTGTAACCCATGACCTCAAGTGGCTTGTTGCTTTTATACAATGATAAAATATGGTAAAATACACACATTTTCAATAAATCATTTCAATTACAATTAATAAGAATTACTATAAACAATTCCTCCAGCAAGAAATGGAGTTTGTTTAGAGTAGACTACAGTTGGCCATCACTGTATTTAATTTTTTAAATCTGTGATATTATAATGAAATTTAGTAGCAGTGTTTGATACAGAAACTTTCACCTTACAAGCAGT